GATGTGTAAAGAGCAGATTGAAGTGATTCTGGGAAGGATTGCCATGTTGGAGGTTCAGTATACTTTATTAGAGGAAGTCAGAGATAAGCAAGTGGCTGATGAGTGGTGTCAGAGAATAGTTCAACAAGTACATGAGGGAAAGGTAACAGAGTTCCATTTAATAGATGGTGTCCTCTATTTAAGGAATCGGTTGTGTATCCCTCAAAATGATGAGTTGAGGAAGAGAATACTTACAGAGGCTCATGACACACGATACACTGCTCATCCTGGAGCAACCAAGATGTATCAAGACGTAAAGAAATGCCACTAGGGGCCAGGTATGAAGAAGAATATTGCAGAATTTGTAGCTAAGTGCCTGGTTTGTCAGCAGGTGAAAGCAGAACACCAACGGCCGTCAGGGTTACTTCAGCCACTTAGTATTCCAGAGTGGAAATGGGAGAGCATTTCGATGGATTTTATTATAGGTCTCCCCAGAGTAAAGCGAGGGTATAATGCTATATGGGTGATTGTGGATAGGCTAACCAAGTCAGCCCATTTCCTTCCAGTAAAGGAGAGCACTACTACGGATTAGTTGGCTCAGATTTATATTAAGGAGATAGTCATGTTACATGGTGTGCCCAAGACAATAGTGTCAGATAGAGATTCCAGGTTTGTTTCAGCTTTCTGGATGAGTTTACAGAGGAATTTGGGTACTTGATTGGCATTCAGCACTGCCGATCATCCTCAGACGGATGGCAAAACAAAGAGAACGAATTAAGTGCTTGAGGATATGTTGAGGGTCTGTTGTATTGATTACAAAGTATCTTGGCATGAGATGTTACCCTTAGGGGAGTTTGCCTACAATAATAGTTATCAGTCTACAATTAAGATGGCGCCTTACGAGGCTTTGTATGGTAAACGATGTAGGTCTCCACTACATTGGGATGAGATAGGTGAAAAGGATGAGTTGACTACCACTCTTGGGCCAGAGATGACTCAGAAAATGATAGAAGATGTAAGATTAATCAGAAACAAAATGAAGCAAGCCCAAGATCGACAAAAGAGTTATGCCGACTTGAAGAGAAAAGAGGTTGAATTTCAAGTGGGTGATAAAGTGTTCCTGAGAGTTTCCCCCTACAAGCGAGTGATGCGATTCGGTAATAAAGGAAAGTTAGCATCGAGATATATAGGTCCATTTGAGGTATTGTAATGAGTGGGGAAGGTGGCTTATAGATTGGCACTACCACCTAGCATGGACAAGGTGCACGATGTTTTCCATGTCTCAATGCTACGGAAGTATGTAAGTGATCCCTCCCATATCTTGAGAATAGAGGATGTTGACTTAGAAGAGAACCTTGTGTATGAGGAGCGTCCAGTACAGATTTTGGATGGAAGGATTAAAGAGCTCCGGAATAAGAGCATTTCATTAGTAAAAGTCCTTTGGAGAAATCACAAGGTAGAAGAGGCCACATGGGAGGTAGAGCAAGAGATGCAGAATCGTTACCCAGAGTTGTTTGTATGAATTTCGGGGACGAAATTCTTATAAGAGAGGGAGAATTGTAACGCCCCACATGGGGTATGTAATTTAATTTATGTTCTTGTACCCTTAGTTGAATTTTGTTAAAGTTATTTTGAGAAAAATGTGAAGAACATCCTTTAAACTTTCATTAGGGGTAAAATGGTCTTTTCACTCAAAATTAGTTGAAAAAGTGGGGAGTGAAAAGAGATAGAATTTCATGGAGAATGCAATAAAAATGAGGGCATTATTGTAATTGACTAAGGGACATAGATGGAATTTTCAAGAAAGAACAAGGGCAAAATGGGAATGTTTGTGTAAAGTATGAGCTAAAAAGGGATTAAGCTTGGTAAACCCTTCATTCATTCTTCTTCCACCGCCATACTCTTTCACCATTTCCTCTCAACTCTTCCTTCAATCTTTCAAGGATCTTTGAGGGCTTTTAGTTGGATCTTGGTAGATAATTAATCTAAAGCATCTTAAGGTAAGGATTCTTACTTTAGATGTGAAATTTATCTATATATGTATTGAAGGTAAGGATTCTTACTTTAGATGTGAAATTTATCTATATATGTATTGAAGTCTTATAGTATATTGTTTAAAGTTGTATACAAAAGACCATCTACCAAAGGAAAGAGAAGTGCTAATGGAATCACTTCACCACAAGGTAAGTAAATCCAACCCAAATTGAGATTTGAGAAATCCTTTGAGTAGAGATTTATGTATGTATAAGTATGTTATGTTATTCAGATGAGTTGAGATGAATATTTTCTTTGTGGTTGTTGAATACACTTCAATTATGAGAAGTGTTGTTGAGTGATGAGAATGTAGTTTGAGATGAAATTAAAAGAATTGGAGAAGTATTGTGGGAGTGTTTGTGCCGTGGGGTTATGGTGATGATACAAGAGAGTTTTGCTCTCATTTTGGATGTTTTAGGAAACAAATTGAATGATAATTAAATTAGGGTTTGTTTAGGCACAATTGTTGTTTGATAAAATGCCTAAGTGAGAACATGTTGCCATGGTTGCCCTGTCACTACCATGACCTTCTGAGTGATTTTGGGCACCTTACAAATTGAACTGGATTGAGACCAAAACATAAATGTTGTAGCCCTATCTCTAAGATTTTAAACGAGACCAAAACCGTAGCAATCCGATGTGTATAACTCAAGTTATGCCTTTTTTAGTGTGACTTGTGCAGAATGAATATCTTGATGCAACATTGCATCCTAAGGCATAATTTTAAGCATGAACCATGCTTATACATTAATTGTGCATTGAGAAGTAGCTTGAGAAAGAGTAGAGAACTTTTTTAATGAACTACTCTAAAAGTAGAGAGAATGAGAAAAACACAAAGAGCGGGTTAGTGCTTTGTGAACTCCACCCGACAATCACGAAGAGTGGGTTGGTGCTTTGTGAACTCCACCCGGCCGTGCCTCCGGTAAGATGAGTGATAATCCGTGGATTATGCAATTTTCATTTGACCTTTTTGTCGGATTTCAGGTACTTTCTAGTGAATTTTGACCTGAATTGTTGCTTAATTCTTTACATTTCGTGTTTCAGGTTAAAATGGACATTTTGAGCAAATAAGGACAAAATCAAAAAATTTTGACTAAGAAGTTAGCGGATCTCAGAAGTTAGGAGAGTTCTGAATCAGGATAAAGCACGATGAGTCTTGTTTCCAAGGGAGAGCACCGAGGATCGAAGAATCAAGCGAAGATGCAAGCAAAGTGGCAGTTCTGTAATTTCAGAACTTTTCAAGAAGCTCCGCCGCGGCGAAGATTTGTACTTCACCACGGCGAAGTAGGCCAGTGACGAGCATGTTTGCTTCTCTCTTCGCCGCGGTGACGGTCATTATTTTCAGTTTTGTTAAACGCACAGTTTTACTTTGTACGTGTTTTGGCTGGGTAATTTGGGTGAGGTATAAAAGAAACACTTAGCCTTTTTGTCTAGGAGTCTTCATTTTTAGGTTGAACAGCTTTTGCATTTTCTTTGGATGAGTTTTGAGCGATTTTAAGTTGTAACAAGGGTGAAGATTCGATTTCTAACGACGGGATTCATCTCTTGGGGAGATCTCTTATCTTTTATCTTGTTTTCATTATGCTAAACTTTGATATTCTCGTTTTTCTTTTTTGTATTGTTGATTTAGCTATGAACTAACCCATTTTGGGTTAAGGTTTTGATTGTAATTTGGATTTTTCATGGGTTAAGTGTTTGATTGTTTTATTTTCATATGAGTATGCTTTGGTTGTGTGTTTACTCTGAGTTTTAATGCTTTTATATGAAGAACATGATGAGATTGAGAAATGAATCATGTTAGGCTTCTTGGGTAATCACCATTGTAGTATTGAATGCTAGAGATAGATGCAAGAATCAATGAAATCAGTGTAGGATTCTCTTGCTTAATGAGTTCGGAATCGTTAACCTTCAAACTGTTGGGTGCGGAAGGTTAATAAGGAAGAATAGGAAAACATAGCCTGAGAGGGTATGTTTAACACTTTAGTGAGTTCGATTTACAACCATTGTGTGTGAATATGAATTTAGTAAAATTATAGGTTCAACCCATAAAGTCCGAATGAAGTCAAAACCCTACCCGTTTTACTTGAATTGATTTTTATCCGTGTTTACATCTCGCATTTATAGATTAATTTTAGTTTAAATTTTATTGTTCAGTTCTAATTAGAAATAGCTCCCATCAATCCAAAACCAATCACTTGCTCCAACTTGATAACATTAGGAAACTTAGTGCTTAGCTAACAATCCTCGTGGGAACGATACTCTACTCATCATTGTATTTCTTGTGCGATTAGTATACTTGCTACATATTGCATGTTGTCGGAAACACGCATCAAGTTTTTCGCGCCGTTGCCGGGGAACTGTTTTAAGTTAACATTGAGTTTTTCTATAGTTAGCTAGATTGGAGTTTTTATTTTTTATTTTTAATTTTCAGTTGGTTTGTGATCTCACTTTCCTTCATTTCTGTCTTTGCAGTTTATGCGAAGAACGAGACGTCAACCAGTGGTCCCTGTTGATCTTGAGCTTGAGAGAACCATTAGACGACGTAACAGAAAGAGAAGAGAAAGAAAGGATTTAGTTGTAGAAGCAGATGAAATAGTTGTTGAAATGGCTGAACCAGAAAATAGGACACTGAGGGAATTTTCAGTTCCCATAGTGAATGGTAGTGGGTCGAGTATTACTAGACCTACGGTGCAAGCAAACAACTTCGAGATCAAGCCGGTAATCATCCAGATGATCCAGCAGTCAATTAGATTTAATGGTGATTTGAAGGAAGATCCGAATCAGCACATTACAAATTTCTTGGAAATTTGTGACACCTTCAAGTCGAACGGAGTGTCGGATGACGCTATTAGGCTGCAATTATTCCCATTCTCATTGGGAGATAAAGCCAAGGGGTGGTTAATGGCATTACCACCGGGAACAATAACAACTTGGAATAATCTAGCACAGAAATTCCTCACCAAGTTCTTTCCTCCAGCTAAATTAGGAACATTGAGAAATGATATCACATCATTTCTACAAGATGATTCCGAGTCATTGTATGAGGCTTGGGAGAGATACAAGGAGTTAATGAGGAAGTGTCCACACCATGGGTTGCTAGTTTGGCTTCAAGTCCAAACATTTTACAATGGTTTGATGGGTAATGTGCAAACCATGGTGGATGCAGCTTCAAAAGGGGCCTTACAGAATAAGACACCAGAGGAGGCATATGACTTGCTTGAGGTTTTGGCAAGCAATAACTATCAAAGACCAAATGAGAGAGCAATTCCAAGAAAACCTTCGGGTCTACATGAAGTTGATGCTTTTACAGCCATCTCAGCCCAACTCACAGCACTTCAAAAATAGTTAGGAAGTATGCAGGTAAACTCTGTACAAGTACCTCAACTAACTTGTGATTTTTGTGCAGGAAACCATGCTAGCAACGAGTGTCAACTGGGGAACACATTTGCTTTGTCATCTTCATCAACGGAGCAGGTGAACTACTTGGCAGGAAATCAGAGACAACCAAACAACCCATATTCCAACATATACAACCCGGGGTGAAGAAATCATCCAAATCTGGCTTGGGGAAATCAGAACCAGCAAAATAACCAATGGAACCAGAGGCCAGTTCCAAATAACCAACCAGGGGTGACAAATCAACCGGGAGATCAAAGAGTGACAAAGTTGGAGGATATGTTTGGTAAATTCATGCAGGAGACCATAGGTTTCATGAATGAGACGAGGAAAAATTTTAGAAATCAAGGGGCATCCATTCGGAATCTTGAGGTACAGATGGGCCAATTGGCCGAGAAGCTCAATGATAGACCACAGGGATCTCTACCAAGCAACACGGTGACTAACCCACGTCAGCAAGCAAATGCCATAATTTTGAGAAGTGGGACAGTTTTGGAAGAGGTAGAGCAAGCTACCAAAGAGGTTGAGCAAGCCAGAAAGGAAGATTCTGAAGAGGAAGTTGATGAAGAGATCATTGTTGAAAAGAAACCAAGTGGTTTAGAAGAAGAGAAAAAGAAAAATGAAGAAAGGCAAAAGAAGAAGGAGAAATTGCCATTCCCTGAGATACCACCAAAATTGGCACATCACACCCCACCCATGCCGTTTCCTCAGAGATTGAAGAAAAAGAATCATGATAAGCAATTTTCAAAGTTTATTGAAAGTTTTAAAAAATTGCATATTAACATTCCTTTTGCAGATGCATTGCAGCAAATGCCGAGTTATGCGAAGTTCTTGAAGGAAATCCTATCAAACAAAAGGAAGTTAGAAGATGAGGAAACGGTGATGCTCACGGAAGAGTGCAGTGCCATCCTCCAGAAAAAGTTACCCCCAAAGCTCAAGGATCCAGGGAGTTTTACTATTCCATGTATTATAGGGGATATTACTTTTGATCGTGTTTTATGTGATCTAAGAGCTAGTATTAATTTGATGCCCTTTTCTGTTTTCAGGAGATTGGGAATTGGTGAAGTAAAACCAACGACCATGTCGTTGCAACTAGCAGATAGGTCAATAAAGCACCCAAGAGGGATAGTGGAGGATGTATTGGTGAAAGTGGGGAAGATAATTTTTCCAGCAGATTTTGTGGTGTTGGACATGGAAGAGGATAAGGAAATTCCTCTCATTTTGGGCCGACCATTCTTGGCCACGGGGAGAGCACTGATTGATGTGCAAGAAGGGAAGTTAATGTTGAGGGTACAAGATGAAACAGTAACTTTCAATGTCTTTGAGACGATGAAGTTTCTGGTTGAAACGGATTCATGTTTTAGTGTCGATGTGGTGGACAAATTGGTTGAGGAATCTATGGAAGAAAACACTCCACAATTACCTCTAGAAGCTTGTATAGCCAAATCAAAAACAGTAGAGGTAGAAAAGTCGGAGAGGAACGATTGTGCTAGGATGTTAGAAGCACTTCAACCAATTGATGAGAGTCAAGATGTAGAATTTGAGGAGTTTGATTTTGACAAAGAGAAGGAGAAGAAAAAAAATGAAGAACCTCTAAAGCTTGAATTGAAACCTTTACCTTCCAACCTCAAATATGCTTATCTTGGAGACTCAGAAACCTACCCGGTGATCATTAGTTCAGGATTGAGTACATTGGAGGAAGAGAGGTTGATTAGGGTGTTGAGGGAACATAGACTAGCAATTGGATGGACCATTTCGGACATTAGAGGTATCTCGCCATCATTTTGCATGCATAAGATACTCATGGAGGATGATATTAAGCCTAGGGTGCAACCACAACGGAGATTGAATCCTTCAATGAAAGAAGTGGTGAGAAAGGAGGTGGTGAAACTCTTAGATGCGGGGATTATTTATCCTATTTTCGATAGCCCATGGGTGAGCCCGGTACAAGTGGTTCTGAAAAAGGGAGGGATCATGGTGGTAAAGAATGAGAGTAATGAGTTGATACCAACGAAGACGATGACGGGCTGGACAGTGTGCATTGATTACCAGAAATTGAATAAGGCAACAAGGAAGGATCATTTTCCATTACCTTTCATTGATCAGATGTTGGAGAGGTTGGCAAGACATGTTTATTACTGTTTCCTGGATGGGTATTCAGGATATAACCAGATTGCCATCGCTCTTGAGAATCAAGAAAAGACAACCTTCACTTGCCTTTATGGCACCTTTGCCTACCGAATGATGCCTTTTGGGTTATGCAATGCACCAGCAACATTTCAAAGATGCATGATGTTGATATTTGGAGACATGGTGGAACGGTTTATAGAAGTCTTCATGGATGACTTCTTAGTTTTTAGTTCATCATTTGATAACTGTCTAACTAATCTTTCTCTTGTTTTGCAGCGATGTAAGGAGACAAACTTGGTGCTGAATTGGGAGAAATGTCACTTCATGGTCCAAGAGGGAATAGTGCTCGGGCATAGGATTTCCAAGGATGGGATTGAAGTTGATCGAGCAAAGACAGAAGTGATTGAGAAGCTATCACCACCATTAAATGTCAAGGCAGTCCGAAGTTTCTTGGGGCATGCGGGGTTTTACAGACGCTTCATCAAGGATTTTTCTAAGATTTCTAAACCCCTTTGCAATCTTTTGAATAAAGATGTTGTTTTTTACTTTAACGATGATTGCATGCATGCCTTTCTAACTCTGAAAAGATTATTAGTATCTGCACCTATTATTGCAGTTCCCGATTGGGGACTACCCTTCGAATTAATGTGTGATGCTAGTGATTTTGCTTTAGGGGTAGTTTTAGGACAGAGGAAAAACAAAGTGTTGCATGTAATTCAGTATGCTAGCAAAACACTTGTTGATGCACAATTGAATTACACTACCACTGAAAAAGAATTGTTTGCTATAGTTTTTGCTTTTGACAAGTTTCGTTCTTATTTGTTAGGTGCAAAGGTGATCGTCTACACAGACCATTCAATACTCTGGCACCTATTGGCAAAGCAAGAAGCAAAACCTCGGCTGATAAGATGGATTTTACTACTTCAAGAGTTCGAGTTGGAAATTCGAGACAAGAAGGGGTCGAAAAATGTGGTGGCTGATCACTTGTCGAGAATTGAGAGACCAATCAAGGGAAATGAAGAGGAAATACCAATTAGAGAAACATTTCCGGATGAGAAGTTGATGAGAGTGGAAGAAGCACTATGGTATGCAGATTTTGCAATCTATTTGTCATCAAGGGTGCTCCCAAGTGGTATGATGTACCAACAAAAGAGAAATTTTTTCTCAGATTTGAAATACTACTTTTGGGAAGAGTCGTTTCTTTACAGACACTGTGTAGATCAAATGATACGGAGATGTGTCCCAGAGGAGGAGATGGAAAGCATCCTACGGCATTGTCATGAGAGGGAAGTAGGTGGCCATTTTGGGGGAGCTAGGACAGCAGCCAAGGTTTTACAATCGGGGTTTTATTGGCCAACCCTCTTTAAGGATTCCTTTCGGACGATTCAGGAGTGTGACCAATGTCAACGGGTAGGTAATATTTCAAAAAGAGATGAGATGCCGTTGAACAACATCCTCGTGGTTGAACTTTTTGATGTGTGGGGGATAGACTTCATAAGTCTGTTCCCAAGTTCTTTTGGGAACACGTATATCTTGGTAGCAGTGGATTACGTGTCGAAGTGGGTTGAGGCAGTTGCATTGCTGACTAATGATGCTAGGGTAGTGTTTAAGTTTGTGAGGAAGAATATTTTCTCAAGGTTTGGGGTACCACGAGCAATCATTAGTGATGAAGGTCGCTGTTGAGTAAATATGGAGTGACACATAGAGTTGCAACACCGTACCATCCACAAACGAGCGGGCAAGTGGAACTGTCGAATAGAGAACTCAAGGGGATTTTGGAAAAGACAGTTAATGCATCTAGGAAAGATTGGTCAAGGAAACTGGATGATGCATTATGGGCCTACCGAACTGCATTTAAGACTCCGATTGGTATGTCTCCATTTAGGATGGTTTATGGGAAAGCATGCCACTTGCCGGTAGAACTTGAACATAAAGCATACTGGGCCATCAAGCAGCTGAACATGGACTTGAAAGCTGTTGGAGAAGAGAGGATGCTGAATTTGAACGAACTCAATGAGTTTCGTCTCGAAGCATATGAAAATGCCCAGATTTATAAAGAGAAGACAAAAAGATGGCATGACAAGCACATCCGAAGGAAGGATTTTGAAGTTGGACAGAAGGTGTTGTTATTCAACTCTAGACTTAGGCTTTTCCCCAGAAAACTTAAGTCTAGATGGTCCGGACCATTCACAGTGACAAGAGTTCACCCATACGGAGTGGTGGAAGTGTCACATAAAGAAAAGGGCACCTTCACGGTAAATGGACAAAGATTGAAGCCCTACATTGATGGGATGCTGAGTTGCAAATCCATCCCAATCCGGTTGGACCCCACTTGAAGGATCGAGAGAGTTGAGCTTTCAACTATAAACAAGCGCTTCTTGGGAGGCAACCCAAGTGTTTTTAACTTTTTGCTTTTCATTTTGGTTGTTTGATTTTGTTTAATTTCATTATGAGTTTTTATGAATTNATTAAACATATAGTTCTTTTACGTCAGTATGAAACATATAAAGTGTAGAATGTTCACGTATATGCTAAACATATAGGGTTTACGATTCGTCTTTGTTTAGAA